ATGGGATGTTTTAGATGCACATTGAATCTATTCTGATGGAAAGTGCGGTCCGTCTACAGTTTTGAACAGTATTCGGTTATATAAACGGCCTGTCGGCGTATTATGGGAAACAAACTCAAAGTGATCTCACCCTAGCCTTCTCTTTTGCTGAACCCTCCAATGTGGGTACAGACAAACCAGCTCGGATGATATGGGACTAGAACCCTGGGAGCAAAGAGTCGAACATGCTGGGTTTGAGAAATCAGAGCAGTGTTGGTCTGAGCACATGCCCTGTTGGTTTGAAAGGGTGCAATGTTGGTCTGAACGTGCAATGTTGGTCTGAACGTGCAGTGTTGGTTTGAATGTGTGCAGTTTTGGTCTGAACTCCATTCAGTGTTGGTCTGAAAGTGTGCAGTGTTGGTCTGAACGTGCAGTGTTGGTTTGAACGTGTACAGTGTTGGTCTGAACGTGCAGTGTTGGTTTGAACGTGTACAGTTTTGGTCTGAACATATTCAGTGTTAGTTTGAACGTGTACAGTGTTGGTCTGAACATCTAGTGTTGGTCTATCGTATAGTGTTGGTCTGAAAGTTTGCAGTGTTGGTCTGAACATATTTAGTGTTGGTCTGAACGTGTACAGAGTTGGTCTGAACGTATAGTGTTGGTGTGAACATCTAGTGTTGGTCTGAACGTTTGCAGTGTTGGTCTGAACATATTTAGTGTTGGTCTGAACGTGTAGTGTTGGTCTGAACGTGTGCAGTGTTGATCTGAACGTGTACAGTGTTGGTCTGAACGTGTGCAGTGTTGGTTTGAACGTGTACAGAGTTGGTCTGAACGTGTGCAGTGTTGGTCTGAACGTGAACAGTGTTGGTCTGAACGTGTGCAGTGTTGGTTTGAACGTGTACAGAGTTGGTCTGAACGTTTGCAGTGTTGGTCTGAACGTGTACAGAGTTGGTCTGAACGTGTACAGAGTTGGTCTGAACGTGTACAGAGTTGGTCTGAACGTATAGTGTTGGTCTGAACGTTTGCAGTGTTGGTCTGAACGTGTACAGAGTTGGTCTGAACGTGTACAGAGTTGGTCTGAACGTATAGTGTTGGTCTGAACGTTTGCAGTGTTGGTCTGAACATAATTAGTGTTGGTCTGAACGTGTAGTGTTGGTCTGAATGGTCTTAACGTTTACAGTGTTGGTCTGAACGTGTACAGAGTTGGTTTGAACGTGTACAGAGTTGGTCTGAACGTATAGTGTTGGTCTGAACGTTTGCAGTGTTGGTCTGAACATAATTAGTGTTGGTCTGAACGTGTAGTGTTGGTCTGAATGGTCTGAACGTGTACAGTGTTGGTCTGAACGTGTACAGAGTTGTTCTGAACGTTTGCAGTGTTGGTCTGAACGTGTAGTGTTGGTCTGAACATCTAGTGTTGGTCTGAACATGTACAGAGTTGGTCTGAACGTATAGTGTTGGTCTGAACGTGTGCAGTGTTGGTCTGAATGTGTGCAGTGTTGGTCTGAACGTGTAGTGTTGGTCTGAACATCTAGTGTTGGTCTGAACATGTACAGAGTTGGTCTGAACGTATAGTGTTGGTCTGAACGTGTGCAGTGTTGGTTTGAACGTTTACAGTGTTGGTCTGACCGTGTACAGAGTTGGTCTGAACGTGTGCAGTGTTGGTTTGAATGTGTACAGTGTTGGTTTGAACGTGTATAGTGTTGGTCTGAACGTGCGCAGTGTTGTTCCGAATATGTGAAGTGATTATTCACCTGAGGAAGGAGTTAGCATATACTCCAAAACGTTGTGTTCTCATAATAAAGAAGTTGACATCCACAAATTCTCTTCCTTAGATGTATCACTTCTAAATGCTTTTCAAGAACTTGTATCAGTGTAGTCAGCAACATTACAGCAGCACGTGTGATCCATGATGTTGCAGTGGTTGACAGAGCTCTATCAGGCATGGGGAATCTGCCCCTCTATCAGGCATGGGGAATCTGCCCCTCTATGAAGCATGGGGAATCTGCCCCTCTATCAGGCATGGAGAATCTGCCCCTCTATCAGGCATGGGGAATCTGTCCCTCTATCAGGCATGGGGAATCGGCCCCTCTATGAAGCATGGGGAATCAGCCCCTCTATCAGGCATGGGGAATCTGCCCCTCTATCAGGCATGGGGAATCTACCGCTCTATGAAGCATGGGGAATCGCCCCTCTATCAGGCATGGGGAATCTGCCGCTCTATGAAGCATGGGGAATCTGCCCCTCTATCAGGCATGGGGAATCGGCCCTCTATCAGGCATGGGGAATCAGCCCCTCTATCAGGCATGGGGAATCTACCCCTCTATCAGGCATGGGGAATCTGTCCCTCTATCAGGCATGGGGAATCTGTCCCTCTATCAGGCATGGGGAATCTGTCCCTCTATCAGGCATGGGGAATCTGTCCCTCTATCAGGCATGGGGAATCTGCCCTCTATCAGGCATGGGGAATCAGCCCCTCTATGAAGCATGGGGAATCTGTCCCTCTATCAGGCATGGGGAATCTGCCCCTCTATCAGGCATGGGGAATCTGACCCTCTATCAGGCATGGGGAATCAGCCCCTCTATCAGGCATGGGGAATCTGACCCTCTATCAGACATGGGGAATCTACCCCTCTATCAGGCATGGGGAATCTGACCCTCTATCAGGCATGGGGAATCTGCCCCTCTATCAGGCATGGGGAATCTGACCCTCTGTCAGGCATGGGGAATCTGACCCTCTGTCAGGCATGGGGAATCTGTCCCTCTATCAGGCATGGGGAATCTGCCCCTCTATCAGGCATGGGGAATCTGCCCCTCTATCAGGCATGGGGAATCTACCCCTCTATCAGGCATGGGGAATCTGACCCTCTGTCAGGCATGGGGAATCTGTCCCTCTATCAGGCATGGGGAATCAGTCCCTCTATCAGGCATGGGGAATCTGACCCTCTGTCAGGCATGGGGAATCTGTCCCTCTATCAGGCATGGGGAATCTGCCCCTCTATCAAGCATGGGGAATCTGTCCCTCTATCAGGCATGGGGAATCTGTCCCTCTATCAGGCATGGGGAATCAGCCCCTCTATCAGGCATGGGGAATCTGTCCCTCTATCAGACATGGGGAATCTACCCCTCTATCAGGCATGGGGAATCTGCCCCTCTATCAGGCATGGGGAATCTACCGCTCTATGAAGCATGGGGAATCTGCCGCTCTATGAAGCATGGGGAATCGCCCCTCTATCAGGCATGGGGAATCAGCCCCTCTATCAGGCATGGGGAATCTGCCCCTCTATGAAGCATGGGGAATCGGCCCCTCTATCAGGCATGGGGAATCTGCCCCTCTATCAGGCATGGGGAATCTGCCCCTCTATGAAGCATGGGGAATCGGCCCCTCTATCAGGCATGGAGAATCTGCCCCTCTATCAGGCATGGGGAATCTGCCGCTCTATGAAGCATGGGGAATCAGCCCCTCTATCAGGCATGGAGAATCTGCCGCTCTATGAAGCATGGGGAATCTGCCCCTCTATCAGGCATGGGGAATCTGCCCCTCTATGAAGCATGGGGAATCGGCCCCTCTATCAGGCATGGGGAATCTGCCCCTCTATCAGGCATGGGGAATCTGTCCCTCTATCAGGCATGGGGAATCGGCCCTCTATCAGGCATGGAGAATCTGCCCCTCTATCAGGCATGGGGAATCTGCCGCTCTATGAAGCATGGGGAATCAGCCCCTCTATCAGGCATGGAGAATCTGCCGCTCTATGAAGCATGGGGAATCTGCCCCTCTATCAGGCATGGGGAATCTGCCCCTCTATGAAGCATGGGGAATCGGCCCCTCTATCAGGCATGGGGAATCTGCCCCTCTATCAGGCATGGGGAATCTGTCCCTCTATCAGGCATGGGGAATCGGCCCTCTATCAGGCATGGGGAATCGGCCCCTCTATCAGGCATGGGGAATCTGTCACTCTATCAGGCATGGGGAATCGGCCCTCTATCAGGCATGGGGAATCAGCCCCTCTATCAGGCATGGGGAATCTGTCACTCTATCAGGCATGGGGAATCGGCCCCTCTATGAAGCATGGGGAATCGGCCCCTCTATCAGGCATGGAGAATCTGCCGCTCTATGAAGCATGGGGAATCTGTCCCTCTATCAGGCATGGGGAATCGGCCCCTCTATCAGGCAGGGGGAATCTGCCCCTCTATCAGGCATGGGGAATCAGCCCCTCTATCAGGCATGGGGAATCGGCCCCTCTATCAGGCATGGGGAATCTGCCCCTCTATCAGGCATGGGGAATCTGCCCCTCTATCAGGCATGGGGAATCGGCCCCTCTATCAGGCATGGGGAATCAGCCCCTCTATCAGGCATGGGGAATCTGTCACTCTATCAGGCATGGGGAATCGGCCCCTCTATGAAGCATGGGGAATCGGCCCCTCTATCAGGCATGGAGAATCTGCCGCTCTATGAAGCATGGGGAATCTGTCCCTCTATCAGGCATGGGGAATCGGCCCTCTATCAGGCATGGGGAATCGGCCCCTCTATGAAGCATGGGGAATCTGCCCCTCTATCAGGCATGGGGAATCTGCCCCTCTATCAGGCATGGGGAATCAGCCCCTCTATCAGGCATGGGGAATCGGCCCCTCTATCAGGCATGGAGAATCTGCCGCTCTATGAAGCATGGGGAATCGCCCCTCTATCAGGCATGGGGAATCGGCCCTCTATCAGGCATGGGGAATCGGCCCTCTATCAGGCATGGGGAATCTGCCCCTCTATCAGGCATGGGGAATCTGTCCCTCTATCAGGCATGGGGAATCTGCCCCTCTATCAGGCATGGGGAATCAGCCCCTCTATCAGGCATGGGGAATCTGTCCCTCTATCAGACATGGGGAATCTGTCCCTCTATCAGGCATGGGGAATCTGTCCCTCTATCAGGCATGGGGAATCTGTCCCTCTATCAGGCAGGGGGAATCTGCCCTCCCGACTTCCATGAGCCAGGTGAATCTACTGCTGTGTTTACGTATCAGGCAAGTTCTAATAGTGTGCAATAACTACATTTATTCATCACAATAAATACAGCAGTACTGTGATATCTACGTCTTGCCAAAGCTTCCAAACTGTTTGTTCCAGTTGATGTATAGATCCAGGTCGTTCTGTGAGACACTTGCTCGCACCTGCAGAAACGCTTCCTGGAAGTCTGGGAACGTTATCGGTGGGACCTGGAGTCATCACATTATTTAGTTCATTGTATAGCCGTTCAATCAACTTAAATATTTCAGTTTGTTACTTTGAAAATAAAGGGTTATTTTAATAAGAACTACATTGGACATTAATCTATTCTCTAAACAAATGAAAATCTTAACTAATGCATTTCATATCTGATCAGTTCATATTTTGGACATAAATTTGTCAAATGCAATCTATATTTGACCGAAGATTTGATCAGAAGGGATGCTGTGTACCTGGTCTGCTGTGATTGTCTCGATCTGTTCAAAGGGGATGCTGCGGACAGGTCCGAGAGCCGCTTCCCGGCACAAGTTTGCCATGTCAGCACCAGAATATCCTGCACAGAACAGGTGGAAGTTTTTACTGAACTAGAAAGGTGTTTGCATTACACGCAAAATCATAAGCCGCCCATGCCCATCATTTCCTGAATGCCCCCAAACTTCCCCATCAGGAGCCTGTAACCCGAACCATTTTGAGCGTATGACACCAGGTGACAGCTGACCTTACACATGCCCCATGCAGTACAAGTTACTACAACATTGAAACAGAGAAGTCCATGCCTCTAGCTACATTAATAGGAAAGAAAGAAGCACTTCCGGCTTTATGACATCACTTCCTTCTTGTGAAAACACATGCCAAATGCAGAACAACTTTTAAACAGAAAATATAATGTCTTTAGCTACCTTAATAGGAAATTATATGCACTTTCAGTTTAATGACCTTGACCTTCAATCTTAGCCATGAACTACAAAGATCATTAACATAGTGTTTCATCAAAAAAATACTCAAAAATACTCAAGATATTGTGTATACACAAACGTTTTGGGAGTGACTGTCAACATTGTCCAATGACATGCGCCAACATTTATGCGATCAAAACCTCTACCTTAGACTCTTGTAAACTATGTAATGTCAAATTCCAATCAATAATACTCAAGTCCTCATTACACATGAATACTTAACGTTCACCGAGTGACCTTGACCTTCAATGTCATCCAACCACATGAGAGGACATTGCTTTTAGCAAACTATGGTTGTGTTACAATATCACTTACATCACTGTGGCAAACGCAGACACATGACTGTTACATTATCAAGTCTCCATAACACACAAATAATACTTCCTAACTGAAACGTATTTAAATGTCATTTCATATGGTAATAACCACTTCTTTCCGCATCCTGTTCACGAACCATAAGTATCTCCATCAAACTGTGGTCCATTGAATCAATGCATGGTGACATTTATACCAGCAGCAGCAGCCAGGCTGACATAATGGAATGTCATCCTGCATCATCAGGCAACAGCAACATGCAGTAAATGCAACCAGGCAAGCAGGACGGTTGCTCGGCAATTCTCTTTTAACATATTTTTATTTTTAATTATTTGGCGATATTTTTATTTTTCATACATATATTAGAAAATAAGATGAATATGTTAAGCTTGGCACCAGGAATTTATTTCCCAGGGATTACTGTTTATGAATTCAACAAACATTGCAGTGAAAGTCGTGACAGACAATATCCTCACCATCAGTTGTCTCGCAGATTGTCTGGATGTCTGTATCGGAGAGCCGGAAGCTCTGACTAGACATGAGGTTCTGAATGATGTGTTGCCGGGCAACAGTGTCTGGGAGAGGGATGTACAGTCGCTTCACGAAGCGCCGCCTGGCTGCCTCGTCAATTTCCTGTGGCCTGGATGTCAACAAGTATGGCTACAGAGACTGAGGACATGTCATCAAACAACTTAAAGAGTCTTGAATACGGACATTACATATGGTAACTAACGGCCAACATTTGGTCACTTTTTGTTTGCATTTAGCATTAAATAGTTTACAGATTTAACAACCAAAATATCTACAAATGTAGAACAAAGTAGGACTTAACATATTTTGTCTTAACTATTCCATTCTTAACTATTTTGTTTTACAAAAAGTTGACTTGAAGAAACAGTCCTTGCTGTGGCACTTCTACTATGCATCCCCATTCCATCACACTGTAAACACATTAATCCAATTTCATACAAACATATACCCACTATTCATCATCTCATGACATAATACAACCCCAGGACTTGCAAACATCAGAAACATATTGACTTGAATGAATGCCGAATGACATAAGTCACATAGCTAAAGGGGTTTTGTCTGACATCTGTTATTCACCCTAGACATGTATGTGTTCTGTACAACAGCTGAGAAAAGTCCTAGTGTCATTGTTTTACTAAGTCCCAAATCCTGTGACCGCTGAATCCAGGGCTGGAGAGATTAATCCTGACTGCCCTTGACATAGAACAAGACAAGCATGGAAGACTGATCTCCTACACCTTGCACTGCCACAGACCTGTTCAGGTTGAGCAAGTTATATGAGAACCATGGCTTGATGGACGAGTATACCAGTGTCTACCGCCCGACCTCACCTGTTGGTGGCCCCGATGACCAGAATGCGGTCTTCTGACTGTGTGCCCGCCCCATCCTGAACACAGACATGTACAAGTATATCATAGCATCTGTTCACTGGTAACATGCAGAGGCTACATCAAAGAATACTTTCATCTTCTTTTCCTATAGGACAGTATGAGCTGCCTCAACGACCTTGTGCCTCAAACTACTTGCGAAAACAAATTGTGTGTATGTGTGACTAAAAACCAAATGACCAAAATGCACTGCCTACAAAATTGTCAAAAGCATCAAAACATATTCAAGTAGAGCACAGCTATTATCAGCAGCATGATGCAACTGATGGCCCAGGTTGTGTGGTTAATATTGTGGGTACATATTTCATCTGTTTCATATTATAGGCTGATCTACTCACTTATATTTCCAAAGTTACGAAACCGATGAAAGAAGACATTAATTATCATATATCCTCTGGGGTTCCTTTATGACATAAGATCTGTGGTGCAGACCGAACACTTACGACGCCCACGTCTACACTGTTTACCTACCAGCTGTACAAGAAACTCTGTCTTGATTCTGCGCGAAGCTTCATGTTCTCCGTCTGAGCGCTGAGACAACAGGGAGTCGATCTCGTCAATAAACACCACGGCGGGCTGGTTACACCGGGCTACGGCAAACAGAGCTCGCACCATCTTCTCCCCTTCTCCTACCTGGCAGACAGATAGGGTAACTCAGTCATCAGCCAGACACATGACTGTGGCAAACACAGACACATGACTGTGGCAAACAGATGTGGTAACTCAGTCATCAGCCAGACACATGACTGTGGCAAACACAGACACATGACTGTGGCAAACACAGACACATGACTGTGGCAAACAGATGGGGTAACTCAGTTATCAGCCAGACACATGACTGTGGCAAACAGATGGGGTAACTCAGTTATCAGCCAGACACATGACTGTGGCAAACAGATGGGGTAACTAGGTTATCAGCCAGACACATGACTGTGGAAAACACAGACACATGACTGTGGCAAACACAGACACATGACTGTGGCAAACACAGACACATGACTGTGGCAAACACAGACACATGACTGTGGCAAACACAGACACATGACTGTGGCAAACAGATGGGGTAACTCAGTTATCAGCCAGACACATGACTGTGGCAAACACAGACACATGACTGTGGCAAACAGATGGGGTAACTCAGTTATCAGCCAGACACATGACTGTGGCAAACAGATGGGGTAACTAGGTTATCAGCCAGACACATGACTGTGGCAAACACAGACACATGACTGTGGCAAACAGATGGGGTAACTCAGTTATCAGCCAGACACATGACTGTGGCAAACACAGACACATGACTGTGGCAAACAGATGGGGTAACTCAGTTATCAGCCAGACACATGACTGTGGCAAACAGATGGGGTAACTCAGTTATCAGCCAGACACATGACTGTGGCAAACACAGACACATGACTGTGGCAAACAGATGGGCTAACTCAGTTATCAGCCAGACACATGACTGTGGCAAACAGATGGGGTAACTAGGTTATCAGCCAGACACATTACTGGCAAACACAGACACATGACTGTGGCAAACAGATGGGGTAACTCAGTTATCAGCCAGACACATGACTGTGGCAAACAGATGGGGTAACTCAGTTACTCAGGCAAATTGCCACCTTGTTTCTGAAACCTGACAGACATTTCTAGCATCTGCAGACATGGGTGTAGATAGGGGAGATGTGTCTGTGGGGAGGCGTGACACGTCACCAGGCACACAGAGCTTCGCCACATTGCTATGAGATACATACCCACTTTGACGTCAGCGAGGATGCGCTGATGCTGAAGAAGGTAGACTTGGACTGACTGGCTATACATTTACCTACAAAAGGAGCTTGTCGTTAGATCATCTTTCCATTAGCCAGAATTATTTGTTTAATCCCAGTAATATTCTTATTAATAATTATACCTCACTAATACTAAGAACTATTGACTTTATCAACCCTATATACATCTAAGCAGCAACTAGGCACTACAATAATTTGATTCTATGAAAGAGTTTCTTTTATTACATGTAGCCTACATCAAGCTTATAACACAGACAGTTAATCAAAACGGGAATAATCAATTGAATGGGTATTAAATGAGAATTGACACCTCAAAAGTCAGACACAGACCTATGAGAGTTTTCCCTGTTCCCGGAGGTCCGAACAGCAGCAAGCCTTTCGGTGGACCTCGAAGTCCAGTGAAGATATCGCTGAAGCACCAAACAAATGTACCACCACCACCAAAAGAAACGCGAACCATAGCAACATATGGAGACGTATGTAAAGTGAAGCAAGATGTTTCCAGTGTGTACAACTTAATGACAAAACTAACAAGCAGTCAAGTGTTACCACAGTGTCTTTATTCTCACCACAATATGCTGCATGTGATTTCCAAACATTAAATGCTAATAAATAATAAAGTCTGGACCAGACAATCCATTGATTGACATTAAGAGCAAAACCCAACCATACCCACCTTGTACAATGACAGGCTATCCACCTTGTACAATGACAGGCTATCCACCTTGTACAATGACAGGCTATCCACCTTGTACAATGACAGGCTATCCACCTTGTACAATGACAGGCCATCCACCTTGTACAATGACAGGCTATCCACCTTGTACAATGACAGGCTATCCACCTTGTACAATAACAGGCTATCCACCTTGTACAATGACAGGCCATCCACCTTGTACACTGACAGACTATCCACCTTGTACAATGACAGGCCATCCACCTTGTACAATGACAGGCTACCCCCCTTGAACAATGACAGGCTACCCACCTTGTACAATGACAGGCTACCCACCTTGTACACTGACAGACTATCCACCTTGTACAATGACAGACTACCCACCTTGTACAATGACAGGCTACACACCTTGTACAATGACAGGCTACCCACCTTGTACAATGACAGGCTATCCACCTTGTACAATGACAGGCTATTCACCTTGTACAATGACAGGCTACCCACCTTGTACAATGACAGGCTATCCACCTTGTACAATGACAGGCTATCCACCTTGTACAATGACAGGCTACACACCTTGTACAATGACAGGCTACACACCTTGTACAATGACAGGCTACACACCTTGTACAATGACAGGCTACCCACCTTGTACAATGACAGGCTATCCACCTTGTACAGTGACAGGCTATCCATCTTGTACAGTGACAGGCTATCCACCTTGTACAATGACAGGCTATCCACCTTGTACAATGACAGGCTATCCACCTTGTACAATGACAGGCTATCCACCAAGTCACTGACCACATGGTCCAGTAAATCACTTCTTACAACAAGCACATGTTGCTGGAGACTAAGTCAAACTCGGAAATCGCATCCACTAGCAAAAACATCCATAAAATCTTGTGAATATATGTCACAAGGACAAAAGAAAACCATATGATCTGAAAACAGGCCACTCAACAGGAAGATATAAAAATTAAGTGTATGCTTTGGCCATCGTATATACCACACAATGTTTGTTGTTTAACACTGTACTCAGCAATATTCCAGCTATGTGACGTAGGTCTGTAAATAATCGCGTCTGAACCACACAATCCAGTGATTGACATCATGAGCATCGTTGCACGCAAATGGAATACAATGACATGCATCAACCAAGTCAGCGAGCCTGACCACCCAATCCCGTAAGTCGCCTCGGACAACAAGCAAAAACGCCTTTAACAGCTGTGTAAACAGTTAGTTTGTGTAATGACACAGCACAGCCTGACAGGCGAGCCTGACCACCCAATCCCGTAAGTCGCCTCGGACAACAAGCAAAAACACCTTTAACAGCTGTGTAAACAGTTAGTTTGTGTAATGACACAGCATAGTGCTGTGTTATCATAGGCCACAGTAAAAATAACAACCTACGGTCGAAGCATGGGCCACACCACAATCTCTTTTATTGTTTTCTTGGCGAACTCCAGACCTGCTATATCACTCCAGTCCATCTGGGGTCCATGATCCATCACCTGTAAATAGTCAGCTTCAGTAATTTTGTTGAGAGAAACAATAAAAAAAGGAGGTTGCATCCATCTCCAGGCATCAGAGCTCCAGATAAGCTTTTAGTGTTGGTGATTTTACCCATGCATTTTAAAATCATTGGGTATCAGTAATTCTGTCTGGGTATTCAAATTTCTGTTACCCACTAGCTTTTACACATGTGGGTATTTAAGTTAAATATTTAAAAACCCTATTCATCTAGTCCCTGCAAACTGGTGTCGCTTGGGTTCAAAGCTTTATAGGACTCAAAAATACCACGAAACTTCCACAAGAAAGTGTGATGGCAAATAATCGTGATGTAACAAGGTTGACGGAATGCCCGTTTATAATTTCAAAATAAGTTGCTGATTTGCTAATCGAATACGCAGGGTTACTTCACAATTTTTTTATGATACGCACAAGTTTTATTTTTGTAGCTTACCTGTAATGTTCGTTGCGTATTTGATACGCTTGGATTTTATTTTACAGTGTACTTCTGCATTTCTGATGCGTATTTCACGCAGATACGCAGCTTATCTGGAGCTCTGAGTCATACAGCGTATTATAAACCCATTCTATTATGACAAGTACCCTGGACCATTCACCACCACAGCTGGGTTCCAATCTCATTTCTCTTATCATGATCTTAGCACAGAATGACTATCGCACATGGGTGTATTGGACATCTATTTTTAGCATTGTGTATCAGGCTCCAGGGTATTATCAGGGATTAACAGAGACTTAATACCCTGGATGACCGAGGATGATTGCAACAAACCTAACCCTCAAAATTAGAACAAAGAATTGCGTTGGGGGGTCGAATGTAAATAAGATTTTTTTCTTTCAGTATATTCTTCAGGCTCCCAAGCCAATCACCAACAGAGCCATACCTCATTCATGATGAGTTCGATCATCTTGGGTTCGATGCCCTTCAGTCGTTCGTCAACCGGCTCCTCACATTCACTGCTGCCTTTACCACCACCACTGCTGCCAGATCGGTTGCTATGGCAACATGAAGACATTATTTTTAGCTTGCTAACTTTTCACGTTTTCACGTGAGTCACTATATGACCGAGATATTTTGTGACGAATCATTTTAACTCATTTACTCGGTCTAGGTGAAACCTTAAAGATGTACCTTGGTTCCTTACTTTTTAACTAGAAGATCCAGCCATCAGAGGTACAGAAGTACAGAAGTACAGAAGTACAGAAAATCAAAACTTAAACCTTAAAGATATGAAGCTGAAAGATAACTTTTCTAAAATATTATGAGTGCTTCCTTCAATAATGACATTGTTGGTGCAATCTTGAACAGAAATCCATACACAGCTGTAACCCCGGAGTGAGTGAGTGAGTGAGTGAGTGAGTGAGAGTGGGTGAGTGAGTGAGTGAGTGAGAGTGAGTGAGTGAGTGAGTGAGTGAGTGAGTGAGAGTGAGTGAGTGAGAGTGAGGTAGTGAGTGAGTGAGTGAGTGAGTGAGAGTGAGTGAGTGAGAGTGAGGTAGTGAGTGAGTGAGTGAGTGAGTGAGAGTGAGTGAGTGAGAGTGAGGTAGTGAGAGTGAGTGAGTGAGTGAGAGTGAGGTAGTGAGAGTGAGTGAATGAGTGAGTGAGTGAGTGAGGTAGTGAGAATGAGGTAGTGAGAGTGAGGTAGTGAGAGTGAGTGAGTGAGTGAGTGAGTGAGTAACACAGAAATTCAACAATATTACAGCTATACGAAACAAACTGATCCAGGATATTTATGATTGCAAACGTAGAGTTTCTATGTTTGTTGTTTAACGCCGCACTCAGCAATATTCCAGCTATAAGAGGGCGGTCTGTAAATAATTGAGTCTGGACCAGACAATCCAGTGATTGACATCATGAGCATCGATCCACTCAATTGGGATCGATTACATGCATCAACCAAGTCAGCGAGCCTGACCACCCTATCCTGTCAGTCACCTCTAACGACAAACATTGTCGCCTTTTACGGCAAGCACCGGGGTAAGTTAGTGAGTGAGTATGGTGGGTGAGTGGGAAGCTGGGCGGGGAGCAGATATGATATTCCATGTACATCCTGCACAGACAGTATAAGGTAACAGAACCTACCTTCCTCCTCCCCCATTCTCCTCCCGACCGGCAATTGGGGGGACAAACTTACTCGATGGGCCGCGCCTATCAATGGAGACATTCTGAAGACTCTCATCTCACAATATGATAGGGATACGACAATTCTAAATATAATCAAAACTGATACGCTTAATCTTTTTATTCCACCAAACAATCTCCTGATATGAAAATAATAAGTCACTGGAGTCCTAATGCAGACAACAAGAGTCGTGCCAGGCACGGTGTTTCGCAGGTATCATTTTGTCTTGTGATCATGTTCCTATATTAAACATGGAGAATTCTGAAATACCCCAAAATCAGAGCAGACATGAAGTACATTTAATGTTCTGAAACCTATAACATGTAGGCTATCTGGACAGAGGTAGTCGGTACCTTGTTCCGAGGGATTTTTTTCCTGTCCCATACACAGACGTTGTCGGTTGACCTTGACCATGATTACCGCCTCCTCCTCGAGAATATTTCTTCTGCTGGTCAATAGCCTTCAAATCAATAAAATAATTTACTATTGAATTAGTAATCAACATTTCATTATTGGCAAAAATAATTCAACAATCTACAACAAAGACACCCCCAAGATGTATCCTCTTCTATACATTTTTTTCATTTTGCAAAACCAACGTACTAAAAAGAGTCAGTTCGGCGAACACATTAACTCTTAACCCTGATGTCATAAGCGTCAGATGAGTTATCTCCCCTTAGTCGACAGATTTTTGCTCTGATCGGGAAATTTACTAGTTCTGGATGTGTGAATAATGTGTATACTGCGACTAAAGGTGGTGGTGACCAGTTGGATGTCTCACCAGCTGCTGTTTGGCTGTTTTAAAGGGGTTGTTCAGATGGGGCACATCATCATCATCCTCCTCAACTCCTGGGTCAGGTCCACGTCTTGGATGCTAAATGAGGCCAAATAAGAATGAGTTAGTCGGCTACATCCTAACTTTAGTAAGGTATGAATGAGTATGACTTTATGCCAATTTGAACAATATCACATCAATATCCCGGCAAGGGGCAAAAAGAATGGGTGTCGCACATGGACCCTACGTGTAGAATCAAACATGGGGCTTGTCTTTGTCAAGCAAATGCTGACTTTTTTACCCACAAGAAACATTGATTACAAGATATATCAAAGTCAAATAATTCTCATAAATTCATTCAAAAATATTGAGGGAAACGATTTAAGTGACAGTTTTTTTTATTGATATTCACCCAAAACAACACATAGTGAGACGCCCTTAATTTGACGTATCGTTGAGGACAATGCAACTTGATGTTGTCGACAATTGTTGTAGTCGATCATTTTAAACTCGTCTCCATCAAGTGGAAAGTTTCAGTGAATCTCAGCTACACCTACCTCATTGTTTGGAAACAAAGATGGCTGCCCACCAGAGGATCCAAAGTTTCTCTGCCCACTTCTCCCACCTGCAACTAAAGTTACATCCACAAATCAAGATAGAAAGGTTGTTTACATGTTTTCCATACTGTAGTTTTATTTCGACATTTTCAAACACTCTGCCATGAATTTGCATAATACTCAATTTTTATAGGTCAATCAGTGGTTCCAAATCACAATAACTACCTTTGATTGAACGTTTGAACACCCAATTTAAGGTTCACTGCACAACTAATATTTATAGAATGTACTCTTTCTTAATCATTTTCAGTAGGAATTTTTAATTATAATATTACAAAATGCACACAGTCTTGCTTGACAACGGTATAAGGATCCATACCGAAACGTCGCTTTTCACAGTATTAAAGAAGTTGTTATCCATAAAATTGTGTCTATCTTGTCATCCGTCAACTTCTAAGTATTGCCTATCAAATAATTTGCACACATGAAGTGTGAATTTCCGGTTTCAGGGACAACAGACACGCCTCATAGTGGTGTGCACTTTTTAGGACCAAAACTTGTAAGATTTGATCTATTTTCATTAGGAGTGACTGCATAGTGTTGACTTACAAAATTGTTGTGCTATACAGAATATCATTGCAATATACAACGTAGGAGCATATACAACGAATGGTTTGTTTGAAGGCTATTATCAGTGTTCCATCAATTCAAATCAACCACTTACTCAAACCATTTCAACTACTGTGGCATGATAGAATTGAGATATACATTCCATCATTGATATAGAGCTATGTTACCTGTAGATTTGACAGAGCTATGTTACCTGTAGATCTGACAGAGCTATGTTACCTGTAGATTTGACAGAGCTATGTTACCTGTAGATTTGACAGAGCTCAGTTACCTGTAGATTTCACAGTGTTAAGCTTAACATTTGAAACCTCATGCTGTGAATCCGAGTTAGATTCCAAATTCAAACTAGCTCCATCTACTCTACCATTAAGAAAGTTCTGCAAAGAAAACAGTATGTTCATCTCCTATTGATTTGTGTAGGCCCATAAGCATAATAATTGATTTCATTAACATACAAAACATATCCCTTTGACAGAAACTAACCATTGTTAGAAAGCAAGGGTCTTTTCCTGGAATAAGTATCCCCGCTCTCAATGTCCATGTTACTGCTGGACGTCCACGCTGGAGTGGTCTGCCTTTGGTGGGAGCCTGTCCTGTGTGCTCCATCAATACTGGCTCCATGTGTGGAGCCGTTTTCTGGTTGTTGATTATCCCAACTCTTCTGCCTGTCCTTCCATTGAGTTTGTGAGGTGTTGTGTCGTTGGAAGTTAAATTGTCTGCTCAGAGTATCTGAGGTGCTAGACTGATTTCTACTCTTGTCTAAACTAGCAGTATTATTTTCCTTATTGTCTGTCTTCTTGAAAACAGTGTCGTTGTCACTTCCTTTGGGCAGATAACTCTTGGAGATACTCTGAAATGTAGATATGTACACCAAATACTAAAACTAGGCACAACAGTGTGACAGTCGGACCAAATAAATGTCACAGCAAGACTGATTCAAGCCATTCAAACTAAAATTCAAGTTAATGATGTAAATAAATGTAACATTTATTAGTTCCAGTAAATAAACAGACGATATAAATGGTGCTGCTAAGGCCAGACTTTGATGTTGGTTTTCAGATTTTTTTACCCCAAATTTCAGATCGGTAGGTCCAAAAATATAAATAAAATATTCAAATTCAAATATTTTTTTCAAATTTCCTGAATGTGTTAACTTGGTACATAAAGTTTCAACAAGTTTTAAATAAAGTATTTTAAATAATTCATTCATATTAATAGCTATTTCTGGCCAGCTTTTCATTTTTTTCACATTTCAATTTTGGGAGTAAGCAGATTTGTAAACAGTGTTTACAAATAATATTCCAAACTAATAATCTATGTGTACCATTGCTTGTGAATTCAGTTTCTGGTAGAAATCTTTTGATTTCAGAGCATCTAGTGTAAGGGTTGATTTCCATTTCTGACTTTCTGAAATAAAAATTGGTTTTCATGATATTCACACTCATGTTCAACTTTGACGCCCAATCTAACCATGCAGTTCTGAATGTCAGGCAGGAAGTCACACTGACATGTAGAACTACATTTTGAGAACAAAGGTCAAAAGGTGAAAATAGACGCCAAATCAAACAAAACTAATGAAGATAAACTCTGTGATAGGTATAGGAGTAAAGGAGGTGATGTCACTTTCAAAACGAAGCTATGAGAGTGCAGGGGTCAAGGTATTGATCATTACAAACGTAGAGATACAATGCACGGGATAATTGAAGATGGAGAATTCCCAGAAGCTTCAACATTACCTTACATTAGACAAAAACTGGTAGATTGTGATAAGAGCAAACCCTATAACCATTCTTTGACTTTGGGTATATTTCAACACGTGCCTTAATTACTTTGAGAAAAAGATATTAGACTTATCTGCAATAATTAATGAAAACACTTAACAAATACCATTTTTGTGTTTGCTGCATATGGCGAGAGCTCCTTCTGCAAAGTTATTCAGACCTGCAAGGAACACGAGTGTTGCAGTTAGTGGTAGGTGGATTGATGAGGAAGGAGAACGTTGGGGGACTGCTTTCCCAGCTTGAGAGAGGAGGTGAACGTTAACTTCTTCAAGTTGCATCTAGAGTGAGTGAGTGACTGAGTATGGTTTTACGCCGCTTTTAGCAATATTCCAGCAATATCACGGCGGGGGACACCAGAAATGGGCTTCACACATTGTACCCATGTCGGGAATCGAACCCGGGTCTTTGGCGTGACGAGCGAACGATTTAACCACTAGGCTACCCGACCATCCCAGATCCATCTAGAACTTGGTATGATGAACAAGGACGATAGCACTATGGATATCCACATGTATGTAACCTCCCTTCTTCACATTTCTGTTCATCACTTGCTTGACAAGTGTTAGTATCTGCACCAAAACATTGCAGTCATTGTAATAAAGTACATGTAGTTGTATATCCATAGAACTAAATCCCTTGTTTAAGTGAATGTTATTTTATGACACACATTTCTGAACACTTTTCAAATTGCTTTCACAGTGAATAAGAGTAAACAACAAGCAGCTTATGGCAAACTATGAGTAATTCATCAGGCTTGTTGTGTGTGTATAATGTCAGCAATACCTGATTTTTCATCTAGGGAATCGACAACTGTCCCATAGTCGTCTTCAAACCCCTTCACCACACAGGACTCAGCTTCTACAGGTAATCTGAACACATCCATAAGTCATACAACAGTCAACAGCTGTACCATGTGTTACAGTTTGGTCTTGAGATGTACAATCCCATTTCGCTCGTAAACCATACACCCAGTTATTGACACATATAACAAATTTATCATTATGCAATCACTAGCTTCCTCAGTGAAATAAGTTTGTATTACAATATCAGATTTGTCTTGGCTCACTCAGTAAGCAACTCAAAATGTGAATATTATGACGTGACAATGAGATGACATCTATAAAACACTATGACGTTAAGACATCAATAACAGGCCAGCCAACAGAATTGTATGGAGTTTTACACAACAGCCAATCAGAGAGATGGATTATATTATACCTTACGTAATGATAAATTTAATTTTCAATATGCACAACCTGGAGAGTTAAGACTGTAGGACAAATTATACAAGTAAAGAACAAACTTTTATCTTACCCCGGTCTGTATGCAGTAGAATGAATTTACATCTAAATGATGAGGAACTCATCTACTCGATGTGTAACATTTAGTTTACAATTTAATAAAGCATATACTGGAGAATGTTGGAAGTATAAGAATTAGTGAATAACCAGTGGACTACGAGAAAGGAAAGCTGAAAGCTCCGAACACTGGCACCTGACTTTCAGTTTCAGCACTCATTCAAGAGGTACGTTTAATACATAATTCTGAGTTTTTAGTAGGTAATTCTATGCATCATAATATATGAACTAACTACGGAGAAACTTTAATGAAGTCAACCTACTGTTCACGTGATGTAATTTTATGATATGAACAATGGATGACACCCTATCATACTGTTCTCAACAATGAAACAATGTGACATAATATCGTTGAGTTGTCTGAACTTAAATAGATAGTATGATACAGTTGTGAACACAGAAGACAACCCACATTCCCTGAGTCTGTGCCAGACGTAGGTGAGCCGATATATTCCTCAGACTGTCTGTTCGGAGTGATGGAGAACTATTGCATGATGGGATTGAAAAGTGGAGTTCCTGCAGTCGGCACAAAAACTGATCTTCTTCACATCCTGCAGTCCCCATCATCTGATGACAAAGGGTGAAACGGCAGCCATTTCAATTAACAGGGCATTAACTCTGTCGATGTTAGGAGTAAGGGCTGGGACGGGTTACACGGGTCCCTGGGTCAGGTGGGTACTGAGTAGGACCCGGGTACCCACAGGACTACCCGGACCCGTGGTTAGTCACGTGATATATTGTTTAATGACAAAAATTATCTAGAACTCTATGGTTACACTACAAGTCACTAATGTTCACATTTCTTTCTGACTGTGCACCCATTCCTTCTGATTTTTCATATGGTTGAATAAAGATATAACTTAATTCAGCTTCAGTGTATGAATGACCAGATTGTTTAATACGTTTATCTAAATACGATTTGCCAGGGCTATGCTAAAAATGTTCCCAATCGGACATTTTGAGACATCTCCTGAGACCTACAGTGGGTACCCGGGTAATAGCTGGGGGGGTGGGTACCCGGGTAGTAAATTTGGACTCGTCCCAGTCCTATTAGGAGTGATTTATTAATATTGAGATCGCTCCTATTAATTATCTGGTCACTGAACCACAACCTGAGGATAATGATTATGTTGAGGACCATTTCAAGTTAACTATTGCTTATTTCTATACCTTTTGAAGAGGAAGTCAATTAAGATAAATAAAAACATAATATACTGAAACTTAGAGGTGATTTGGTCATTGTCAGCAAGAAGGTACCTTCGGTACATATTTCTAAATACTGTACATTTGAATCTCCTAGGGAAGATGTGTTGACAATAACATAAGCGACAAACAGACTTTCTATTCAGGAGGTGCATATATTTCTATATACTTAAATTCTGTTGGATCTGTGTAGTCGACTAGTACGTATTACGTACTGTGTTTATTCTATATCCACGAACATTAGAAGGCTCATTAGAAGAGTGATATATCATGCTTAACAGAGACTTTGCAAAAAAATAGGCCAATATAAGTATAAATAGACAAATTGTTCCTGGGTTATCACGTCAAGCAGAGACCATATACCGGTATATGGTCTCTGCGTCAAGGTATCCCCATGTGAGTATCCCTTGATCGCTCTATCTGAAATCTAATGTGGTTATTGACATTAGCCAGATGCAATCGCTTATCATGGGTTGGCATAAAACAACTAAAACACCCACATGAAACTCACACTACTATTTATCACAGCTCAAACAGACTTGACAAATTATCACAACAAATTTTCCCGCCATAAGTTACTTCCGCATAAGGGAAACCACTCCGCCTTATCGATATATATACCGCTAAATAATATATATCAGTTAACACTAACGCACCTGAGTGAAAGGGTTCTTTTTAATTAATCTCGTTGACGTGTGTTTAAGGGATCTACATGCGTGCTTAGTCCCCAAATCCATTGGATTGATGGTCAATATATAAAAATTGATAAATCATTTGTATCAGAGATTATAAAATAAAATTATTTTATGGTCTGTGTTTGCATGTCTTTTTACACATTTTGCTCATAAAAGGTTTGTCAATCGGGCATATTGAGAAAAGAATAGGAACATACTTTTTATGATGACAAGTGATAGTGTTACTTACTACAATTTTCGATGGTAATACCGTATTCGACGTAATAAGCGCGCAGGGCGCACTCAAAATTAGAAATAGGGGGCACTTATTTGAATATTATTTTGGTGAAAAAAAAACAGAGTTGAAAGATACATTTCGTGGTTTATGCTGACGGCCTGAACTGTTAATATACGACAGATATATTTTTCCAGAATTTAATTGCCAATAATTAAGGGTGCTAATTGGGATTGTTCATTTGCCAATATATTAGCAATTATCGCCGTGGGCGCTTATTAGAGCGGGGCGCTTGTTACGTCGAATACGGTACTTGCATAAGGGACGACAAACAGGTTCCATCTTAAATGTAAAAGGAACTGTTCTTTCTTGTACAGTGGGTTTAATGTGTGTAACGATGTCGGACTGTCACGATTTGGATTGTCAGTCAACGCAGTTTCGTGAAAACTGGATATATTTTAGCATATATACAAACGAACAGTTCTGCTATAAATTAGTATACAGAATAATCGTAATTTTTGTGATTAGTGTAACTGGATTACACCGACCCGTCTATTGTTCTACAAGATGATTAAGTGAAGGTGAGGCCTAGGCACTAAAGTGTTGTCTCCCAACATGGGTACAATGTGGGAAGGCATAGAAGGTATCCCCGTGGTCATAGGGCTGCAATAATACTAAAGAGTGGGACAAACTCGGATCAAAGCTTGTGCAGCGGTAGCGACCACTAACATCTGATTTTAATGAGATTACAACCTCATTCCCTCACCCTCACTTTTACGACACAGTCAGACAGCTGCATCACAGCGGCCTGGTAGTTTTGGGGTTTTGGGGTTTTGCTTTATGTTGTTTATTTGTTTTGTTTTGTTGTTTTGTGTGATGTTTTTGTTGTTGTTCTTTTGTTGGGGGGGGGGGTATCTTTTAATAATTTTGTTGTTTAACGAGGCACTTAACGCTGTCTGTATACTATGTGACAGCAACCTATCAATAATCAAATTTGGTCCATACACACAAGTGATTGATATCATACTTCATAATCAATGTCCGGATATGTTGACACCTGCCTGTCCACCTGATCTATTTAGCATAGTTTGCACATGAACCTATTCTAACCCGGAATCCGACCGTGGGCTCCATGGTACTAGTGCCTACTGAGTCAGACACAGATGTGGTTGAAAACGCAAATGCGAATAACAACGAAGTACAAAACTTACGGAAAGGACAATCGTTGTTGTACCACATGAGACACGCGACTGTTAGATATAAATATACGAGGGGTGTAAAGATTTCCCCTGATTTCCCCTGACCCACTTCCGATGGACCTAGTGGAATGAAACTTGGCGTAGGTATTAGCCTTTCTCCACATAGGAACCACCAAGAGTTACACACTTCTCCCATTGTTTTATGCAACTATGGAGACCTCGATTGTAAAAGCCATCATTTTGCGTCTCAAACCAGGACTTGACTTCAGAAATAAGTGTTTCATCATCTGTGAAACGTTTTCCCTTCAAAAATGACTTCATGGTTGGAAAGAGGTGGAAGTCAGATGGTGCAAGGTCAGGAGAGTCTGGAGGATGTGGAAGGATTTCATAGCCACAGGACCGCGCTTCTGTCTGGGCAACATGAGAGTTGTGTACTGGAGCATTGTCTTGCAGACGGACGCCCTTGGCCAGCATGCCACGCCTCTTAAGCTTGATAGCGTCCCGCAATTTCCGCAGCAGTGAAGCATAATAAGCTCCTGTAATTGTGGTACCCTGTGCCAAGAAATCCATCATTACTACTCCGTGCTTGGCCCAAAACACCGTGAGCATGACCTTGTCTGCAGAGGGTTGGACACGTGCTTTCTTTGGCGGTGGTGACTCCACATGCTTCCATTGCATCGACTGAACCTTAGTCTCAGGAACATAGTGATGGACCCATGTTTCATCCTGTGTGATAAGTCTGTCAAAAAAGTTTGCCTGGTTTTTTTTGGCACATGTCCAAAAGATCCTTTGAGCAATTGACTCGTTCCTGCTTTTGGAAAGGTATGAGCAACCTGGGAATCCATCGTGCAGACACCTTATGCATGTTCAAATTGTCATGGATGATTTTTTCCACAGGCCCTACACTGATCTTGACATCTTGTGCTAACTGGCGAACAGTTATACGTCGGTCTGCCAAAATGGCGGTCTCCACTTGATGGATAGTGTCCTCATCAATGGCTGAATGGGGGCGACCAGGAATGGCAGCTGTTTCCACAGATGTCCGACCACACTTGAACTGGCGATGCCAGTGTTTAACAACGTCATATGATGGGGCATCTTCCCCATAAGTTGTTTTCATTTCATCGAAAGTTTCTTTTGGTGTGCGACCTTTCAAATATAAAAACCTAATCGCTGCTCGGTATTCTACTGGCTCCATTGTCACACCCTACTCGATCATAACACCTGTAAAAGTGGTAAGATTAATAGTTCGGTACTGCAAATTCAGACATAACCCATTGATACATGTATTATTACACATGTAAAATTTCAACCAAATATGATAACCATAAGTGGTTTAGGGGTAATCTTTAATGAACACCCCTCGTAAGTCTTCGTTGTATTTTGCTTGACAGGTTATCTTGGAAATGTGTGTTTTCGTTATAAAAAGAACAGACTGAATGGGTTGTATAGCGCACGCACGCACGCATGCAGGCACACAAAATAATTATAGTAATAATTTCGGTAATATTGCATGACAAAGGTACTAGCATGCTATCGTTAATCTGTCATGCTGTGACAGATTAACTATATAAAGTAATATGAAAGAATTGGGTTTAAGGTCTTTGGAGCTGGTTTCACAAAGCAATCCTAGTGTTACCACGGCTGTAACTCCCATGCTTTAACAGAGTTAGAATAGACGCTTTGTGACAGGGGCCTGCACCTTCTTGAACCCAGATAACTTAATAAATGCAACAGAAAAAATTAGGGATCATGAAAATAGTTTTGGATATTTTTATGAAATTGTGTGTTCAGTCTGAACTACAAAATATTATCCCCCAAAATATTCATGATCTCTAACTTTTTCTGTTCAGCATGTTTGCCATGCTCCCAAGGCTTCAGTTTCACCCATGAACATCCAGGGTAGAATACGTCTTCAGCAACCTACCCTTGGGGTAAAAGGCAACTATGCTTGTCATAAGTATTGACTAACGGGGACTGGGTAGTCAGACTCGCTGACTTGGTTGATGAATGTCATCGTATCGCAATTGTGTGGATCGATGCTCATGATATCAATCAGTGGATTGTCTGGTCAAGAGTCGATTATTTACAGACCACTGTCATAAAGCTGGAATATTGCTGAGTGCGGCGTTAAACAAACAAACAAACAAACATGTGTATCCTCGAAGAAGCACACAGTGTCCCTCATTACGCAGGTGCTTCATCACTGCTGTAGACGAAGATATTCCTGTCAGTCATTTAAACAATAATTACATACTCTGTATGTACAAAATTTATTTCTTTTGATGATCTGATTGCACAGCAATACATTCATGATTCATGAAATGTTCAAATATACATAAATGTTTATGAAAATATCACAGTAATAAATCAACATTAAGTATGATGAACTAGAAAGGTCACACTCGGACGTGTTGCTGCAGGTCCCTGAGGGTGTTGCTGCAAGCTGGTATACAAGATGTAGGACATTTCAAAAGACGACATCTTATGACAGAGAATAATGGAAGTCTTATCCACGGAGTGAGACATCTGAATATATGAAAAATACCATCAAACCCTCATAACCAGCCATGTAAAATCAATCATCAACTGCCATTAATGAGATGAAACAACAGCTTTCGGTCTCTCAAAAAGGACGAGGTGGATAAGAGATGTTTCTAGCCTAAAGGAAATGTCCAATTTTATATACGGAAAACTTTGTAACATTATTATGTAAATCATATATTCAAATTGTTGACAACTAGCCTTTTTTCATTCTGAGATTTGTAAGTTTTTCACTTCTGGCATCATTAAATACATAAGAATGGCTACAATGAGAAAAAAGGCCTATTTTTCTCCTATTTCAACAGGAAATCTAGTTATGAGCACGTCTGTGACCCGAGATGAACTTATTACAGTATGTTTGTACTGTCTTTATCTGCATCTCCCAGGAGAATGATCTTGGGTCAAACACTTGCTCACAAAAAATACAAATTGAAAACAACCAAAATCATCCCTTTTGACACACTTTAACCTAGAGTACACATTTAGTGTTGTGCTAGGTCCAAAACGTGAACAAAGTCTAGTTCTCATTCATGTGAACATATCTGATAACTTTCATAATATCTGAATGTTTCATTTCTTAAATTTTACAGAACCTGTGGGCCAAAAAATCTCCTTATCATACCCTGTCCTTTCCTGAAACTCAACATATACAATTACTGAGGTTGTGATCATTATCATGAAACAGTTCATGACTTTCTCAATAAATGATGGATCCTGAGCAGTAGTTACCAAGGTAAAACATTTCCCTGGTTGCACTGATTAGCCCACATCTACAATAGTAGGACAGTTTCCCATGTGCAAGTAGGAACTCTTATTTTTGTAAGTATTACAACGGTACTACAACCATGACGTAGTATATTATATTGCTCCCTGAAGTTGCAGTAAAGTGATGACAAATGGGATAGAGCAAGTGAGTGGGTGAAACTGATAGTTTCCTGTTATTATTCCTCGTTTGCTGCCTGATTTTGCATCCCCAGCAGAAGGATGTGCTGCATCCAGGGTGGGCCTAGTAACCGTGGTGCCCATGGTCATGTGACAGTGTAGGCGACATCCCCAGCAGAAGGGTGAGTTGCATCAGTGGTGGATCTGGTAACCATGGCACCCATGGTCACGTGACAGTGTAGGGGACATTCCCAGCAGAAGGATGTGCTGCATCCAGGGTGGGCCTAGTAACCGTGGTGCCCATGGTCATGTGACAGTGTAGGGGACATCCCCAGCAGAAGGGTGAGTTGCATCAGTGGTGGATCTGGTAACCATGGCGCCCATGGTCATGTGACAGTGTAGGGGACATCCCCAGCAGAAGGGTGAGTTGCCTCATGAGTAGCATCCATGTCATCCAGCAGCACTGTCATTAGCTGGTCTGTGTAAAAAATTATTTAATCTCTGGCTCCCAATCTGCCATCTTGATGTTAATGAACAAACAAGCATTACATTTAGGTTTAAAGTTCTTTTGAAACTGTTGAAGCAGAGATGTGACATGACACTTGACAGTAACGCTTGTTTCACTGTGAGTTTCTGTGATTAGTGATCACTCTCTCTAAAGTTAACACTGAAACTGGGAACAATCACATGTTATATGACAGCAAAGCAATAACACTTTTTCTGTTACCTGATCAAGGACAGGTAAATCATAGGAGGAACCAACAAATAATATCCCTGGGACACTGTTAACAGGTGAACATCAATGATAAACCAACTAAGTAACTAATAATGCCCCTGAGGTTGTCACTGGCAGAACTAACAAAATATTTGATGCATACACCCATGTATACCATTAACAAGTAAACATATATAAATAAAAATTATAGTCATGGTTCTCAGGCACCGCTTGCATCATCATAAAGTTCGCCGCACATATTGTTTTTATTTCCATAGAAAAAAACAAAAAAAATCCTTTAATATTCCCAGTCCAACTGTAGTCAAAAACTGTATTTCAGTATTTAACTCATCAAGGAATACATTAACGTAGGGAGGCCCTTTTCCAGGTTGATTGTACACAACTGTTTATTTGGTTCCACAACTAGTATTTGGTTTCATACTAGTTTGAACCACCAAAAGAAAAAAAGCCATTGCCTGAGAACCAATTTTTTTTTTTTAAGCCTTAATGCTCTCTTTCATAAAATGCTAGCAGTGTCACAGAGACCAATTCTATGACCATGTTTCATTTCGTTGTGTTTGTGTGTGCGTGTGTGTGTGTGTGAGTGTATGTGTGTGTGTATGTGTATGTGCTTCAATACAAAAGTTCCATGAACCCACTCATGCATTAAGCAGTATAATTTGTCCATATTTTCTGTGCAGTTCTTTACCCACTATCTGAATTACATTAACTGAAGATTTCAGTCTGTGCAACTTGTCGTCCTTCCAGTTTGCACTGTCTGTGGCCAACTTCATCTCAATCCTGTCAAGCAAAATTAAAACCCCAGATAATCATCATCTAAACTCAGTTCTCAGTCTCCATATTCCAACACCACTTGACTTGTCAAGGTCACAGATCTGATTGAGCATTGCCTTGAAGCATGCAGCGCCCCCTTTTGGCAAGCGAGGACCAAACTGATCGAGTAGTTCCCGCGTTGCCGCCTGTCCATCGATGTGACACTGGAATGCAATATAGTTCCGAATGTCTGTCATAAGGTCAAGGTCTTTTGTGTCAACCTTGTCAGGGTTTCCGCCAATATCCTCATCCCCCTGCTTTGACAGATTGTGTCTGCGCCTCATCTTTGACAGGAGGTCATCGGACGACATGACTGCCGCATTGGCTGTCAGGGCCACTGCCCCGGACATACTTCCATCAAACATCTTGTCTTCGTTAGACTTCTCCGGCATCTGCAATACAGGAAGGAAGACACTGTAAAACACATTTGAACATACACTTGCTTGTCTAAAGTTCGACTTATGAAATCAAGACTACAAAGTCCAAAAAATAGTCTTTGAAAAGACTAAGGCTTAAAAAAATAAAAGAATTTGTCATCAGGCAATGGTTTTTGAAAATATAGTGCAGGCGGGCAGTGCCTTTTTTCCCCCTTTTTAATGTTGCTGTTTAAACTAATATGTAACCAAATAAACAGTTGTGTACAGTCAACCTGGGAAAGGGCCAAATACAGTATTTGACTACTGCTGGACCTGGATTTAAAAATAAATAAATTAATATGGAAATATAAATGAAATGTGAGGCAAACTTTATGATGATGCGGGCGGGCCTAAGAACCAAGATTATTATTTTTTTAGCCTAATTGATTTCACTGGGAAATAGAAATTGATGATATGTTCAGAATGCATGTGAGCTAGCTTTATACTATCAATCCAACTGATACTAACTTAACAGCCATTCAGTGATCTCTTACTACAAGTCTTGAATGCTAGGGAGATATCCTCCCCATCCCATCTGACAGGGAGTAAGGACAAGGCAAACTCACCTTAGATACAGTAGCAGATGGTGGTGGTGGCGTCGTGGGTTTGATCTTGTCAGCAAGGAGGCTGTTTTTCTTCTTTCCAAATTTAGGTCTGAAAACACAGATTCAGATATTGATTAATTCACCTCATGATCTTCAGACACTAACAACATCAGTGTAAGCAGACACTAACAACATAAGAGTAAGCAGACACTAACAACATAAGAGTAAGCAGACACTAACAACATAAGAGTTAGCAGACCCTTACAACATAAGAGTAAGCAGACACTAACAACATCAGAGTAAGGAGACACTAACAACATCAGAGTAAGCAGACACTTACAACATAAGAGTAAGCAGACACTAACAACATCAGAGTAAGCAGACACTAACATAAGAGTAAGCAGACACTAACAACATAAGAGTTAGCAGACACTAACAACATAAGAGTAAGCAGACACTAACATCAGAGTAAGCAGACACTAACAACATAAGAGTTAGCAGACCCTTACAACATAAGGGTAAGCAGACACTAACAACATCAGAGTAAGGAGACACTAACAACATCAGAGTAAGCAGACACTAACAACATAAGGGTAAGCAGACACTAACAACATCAGAGTAAGCAGACACTAACAACATAAGAGTAAGCAGACACTAACAACATAAGAGTTAGCAGACACTTACAACATAAGGGTAAGCAGACACTAACATCAGAGTAAGCAGACACTAACAACATATGAGTTAGCAGACACTAACAACATAAGGGTAAGCAGACACTAACAACATCAGAGTAAGGAGACACTAACAACATCAGAGTAAGCAGACACTAACAACATAAGGGTAAGCAGACACTAACAACATCAGAGTAAGCAGACACTAACATAAGAGTAAGCAGACACTAACAACATAAGAGTAAGCAGACACTAACAACATAAGAGTAAGCAGACACTAACAACATAAGGGTAAGCAGACACTAACAACATAAGAGTAAGCAGACACTAACAACAAAAGGGTAAGCAGACACTAACAACATAAGAGTAAGCAGACACTAACATAAGGGTAAGCAGACACTAACATAAGAGTAAGCAGACACTAACAACATAAGAGTAAGGAGACACTAACAACATAAGAGTAAGCAGACACTAACAACATCAGAGTAAGGAGACACTAACAACATCAGAGTAAGCAGACACTAACAACATAAGAGTAAGGAGACACTAACAACATCAGAGTAAGCAGACACTAACAACATAAGGGTAAGCAGACACTAACAACATAAGAGTAAGCAGACACTAACAACATAAGAGTAAGCAGACACTAACAACATAAGGGTAAGCAGACACTAACAACATAAGAGTAAGCAGACACTAACAACATAAGGGTAAGCAGACACTAACAACATCAGTGTAAGCAGACACTAACAACATAAGAGTAAGCAGACACTAAAAACATAAGAGTAAGTAACTAAACATCAGCTCATCAGATTTCCACTCAAAGTTCATTTCATGATTTTAACAGTACCAACAGAATATAAGGTATCAATGCATTTTGCAGCCATCTTTTTTTTAAATAAACTACTCTTGGACACAGAGTTCCTTCCCTTAGCCATGCTGAAATCAAATGATAGGTTTGAAACCCAGCACCATACCCAAGTTTCTTAGTTTTACCAAAGCAGTAAATGTCTCAGTTCTCTATTTCCAAGGGCTTTCCTCTGACATTAGCAGACCCATCATGAAATAAATGAAATTCAAACAGCAGCACAAATATGCAGATACATTTGCTAAACTGCAATCCCAGTGTCAGTTATGATGTCGAGTATCCCAGATACACCAGCTTCCTAGTGGTGAGTTTACTCTCCTACCCAGAGTTCCCTACTGTCACCCTCGGCAACCTAGTCCTTTGTCACAGGTCACAGTCCTCCGTTCAACAAATTACACATTGAACTAAAAGTCTACACACTTAGATAAGCATATGTCGTGAAATGGTGGACTTTCATTGAGAAAGTATCCTAAATCATTAAAAACTATTTCATATTTATCCTTTGTTGATATTGGTTGTACAGCCCAACATGCAGACTTCAAAGCCAAATAGAGCTGGTGATACCGTCACTTTGATGTGTATTGACATATTGCCCCACTCTTCACCCTTGCAGATGTAGCATATTTTCATAATCATGTTAACATTGCCATCTCATCCTACCGGGTACCCATCCACTGCTGGGTGAACAGAGGCACATTTTGTGGGGCAGGACCGAAGCCCAAGAAACTATCAGGAGCCAAGCTGCCGAAACACAGTCACCCATCCAAGGACTCTCCACCACCGACATTGTTTAACATCACCTGATTTGTGCCCTGTGCACTGTGCACAGGACCACGTTCAACACCCCCACTACTTACTTGGCTCCCCCACCGTGCTGCCCCGTCCATGTTGGGATTCCGTCCAGGGCGGAGTAGCAGTGAGATCGAGACTTCTTCAGTGCAGCCACGGCCTGTTTGGCCACTTTCTCTGCCTCAGCCTCCACCAGAGCAAAGTCGGGTCGTCCGGAGCTCATGATCTTGTCATGCTGCAGTGCGCCCTGGATTCCTGGGTGGAAAACTCAAGTCAGTACAGGATCTTCCAACACATATATCTCCTGATCTGTGCATATATCACTCATTCAAATGCCTGTGCCAAATTCTAAACGATGTGAGAAAAATCTTCATAATAAATAACACTAACACATACATAAATAAATCTGGCCAAAGATGATCAATATTGCTAGGTGCAGCATTAAACAACAACAAATAAACAAACAAACAAATAGATACTGAGGTAACTCTGATAAGAATTAGAATAGAGACTCCAAGTTCACAGAAATACCTCAATGGAATTAGTATTTATGTCACCTGTTTTCTTGAAGAGTTCCTGCAAGACGTAGTCGTCGTTCTTCTTCTGGTCTGCATCCTCATCCTTGTCCTTGTAGTCACTTTTTCGGTCGAGATGGGGGATCCGTTCACCCTCAAACTCTGCAAAACACAATGGGGACTCATGAACAGCCAGCCAACGTATGTTAGACAGGGTGTGTCACAATGCACACAGCATTCTGAAGGCCATATATTGACTTAGGAACCTCTGACGACATCCCACTACAGTAACAGAAGGTTCTTCTAAATGTTGATAAACTTCCAAGCCAGGCAATATCAACAATGCCCGGGGCGTTCCGGTGGAATGCCCAGGACCTGATGAATACATTTCTGTTGTAATACCCATGTTTTACAAATAACGTTTCATAAACCTGCCTCTTGATGTAAACACAATTGTGTTTGATAATTGGTTAAAAGTCACAATTTTTTTTAACATGAAAATTCCATGAGGTGAATCGAACCTGCAACCTCACATATCATGTTAAGTTTTGTAACCCATCGTTTTCCCACTGAGCTACCAGGGCAGGTGATGAGGTGTTATGTTTATCATGTCATGACTCCAGCTAGTCCATGATTGCAAGTTGTTTTTCTCTTGCATGCATGAACGAATTCCTTTTATATTGCGACACACTGTATTGTTTCACAAAACGGTATGTCGATGTTTTCTTATTTTTTCTGGTATTTCTTGTATTTTATTCAGTTCATAAGTTGGATAAAACACGCTTCCTCGGTTTTGTTTGTTAATGTTAAACCTTGACCTCTGGAAAAGCCCTCTGGCCTTCAGCCCTCGCTCACAGATTTACATTTTCAACTAAAACCTCAGAGGCGTGTTTTATCCTATACATGTAATCTGTATTCATACATCAAACATGTGAATGAATAGTTCTCTCTCATGCATACATAGTTCATATTATCGAATGACGCCACTCTCACTCTTGCATACAACACTTTCTACGTAATCACATGTACACTCTTGAGAAAACTAATTAACATACAATACATGACGTCCTCTTAAACATCAGTGACAGAATCACTTCATCACTCACTGGCATCTCTCTTCCTCTTCTTCTTTTTTTTCTTTTGCTTCCTATCCACATCCCTGAGGGTGTCCTTTGCGAGGGGTGTTTTGTGATCATTGTCTCGCTTTGAGGCAGCATGTGCCCCATTCAGGGCTCCACCGGACTCACTCTTGGTGTTGTTCTTATCCTTCTCCATCCTCTGACTCAACATCCTGGCCATCTCTCGCATACGCTGAATCTCATCTGTGTCAAAAGTATTTTCAAACGAATCTTCTTTTGAGGATTTAGATTCCTTTTTCATTTCATCAAACCTGTTGACTTTTGACTTTGCTGTCTCTTGTTTCTTCACTGGCCTTGGGACCGTGACATCTGACCCAGTCCCAGCAAAGATGGCGCTGGTCTCCGTGCCCTCACCATCTCCAAGATCAGTCAAGGTAAATAGTTCATAGATGTCATTGGATTTAAAGAAGCGACGTTGTTTAGGATCTTTCAACACACGGTTTGTTAGAAACTGCTTGAAGATTTGCCTGTAACAAAGAAACAACTTGAGACTCAACAACCAGATACTGACCCATCAACACACCTGCTTGGAATAAGACATCTGGTTTTTCGAGGTGTGCTAAAGATGTAGGCCAGTTACATTCATGACGCACCAGTCCGCCCGACTTGTTGGGAGTAAACATTATTTAAGATACTGATGGTTAAACTTTTCTTAATGTTAACAAAATCCCATCAAGCAGTGCATCTTTACCTGTGGTATATTTTCTCCTCGATGGTGCCAGATGTGAGAAGCCTGTAGATGGTGACCTGCTTCTTCTGTCCGATCCTCCACGCCCTCTCACGAGCCTGGGTGTCGGTGCTGGGGTTCCAGTCCGGGTCAAAGATTATCACACGGTTCGCTCCAGTCAAATTCACACCCAGACCCCCGACTCGCGTTGTCAGCAGAAACACATAGATGGATGGATCCTAGCACGGCAAGAGTAAGCAATTGTTATGTTTGACAAAAAAATACATAAAATGCTTTATCATACAGGTCTCTTAACAAAGTATTTGTGCTGATAAAAAAGTGACTTGCAATGTCGGCATCCTCTCCTCCAAACACAACTTGCCAGCATTCTATGGCGGGGAGTGCAGATTCATTCTTGTTCTTGCACAATAACATTACGATTTATGAAAGGGTCAAAATATTCTGCCCACTGAGAAATATGAACATGTGCCTGTTCGTTCATGCACCCTCCACACACAGACAGGCACTCGTCGTTCATGCACCCTCCACACGCAGACAGGCACTTGTTCATGCACCCTCCACACGCAGACAGGCATTCTTCGTTCATGCACCCTCCACATGCAGACAGGCATTCTTCGTTCATGCACCCTCCGCACGCAGACAGGCATTCTTCGTTCATGCACCCTCTACACACAGACAGGCATTCTTCGTTCATGCACCCTCCGCACACAGACAGGCATTCTTCGTTCATGCACCCTCCACATGCAGACAGGCATTCTTCGTTCATGCACCCTCCGCACGCAGACAGGCATTCTTCGTTCATGCACCCTCTACACACAGACAGGCATTCTTCGTTCATGCACCCTCCGCACGCAGACAGGCAATCTTCGTTCATGCACCCTCTACACACAGACAGGCATTCTTCGTTCATGCACCCTCCGCACACAGACAGGCATTCTTCGTTCATGCACCCTCCACATGCAGACAGGCATTCTTCGTTCATGCACCCTCCGCACGCAGACAGGCATTCTTCGTTCATGCACCCTCTACACACAGACAGGCATTCTTCGTTCATGCACCCTCCGCACACAGACAGGCATTCTTCGTTCATGCACCCTCCGCACGCAGACAGGCATTCTTTGTTCATGCACCCTCCACACACAGACAGACATTCTTCGTTCATGCACCCTCCACACTCATTCTTTGTTCATGCACCCTCCACACGCATTCATCTTTCATGCACCCTCTACACACAGACAGGCATTCTTCGTTCATGAACACTCCACACGCAGACAGGCATTATAGGTTCAGCGTTTCACTGCATGACGTAACTACCTTATTGAACTGGTCAATGAGCTGCTGCCGGGAAGAAATGGGTGTGGTCCCATCCATACGGAGGTAGGAATACATATGCTTCTGAACAAAAAACTCCATGATGTCCAGCATCTAAACATAAGAACTTACTTCAGCATAACAAACTCTGCAACTGAACAACATACATGTGTCCACATCAGAGGTCAGTGATGACACATGCTGCACATTTATCAAAACACATGGTAGAAACAGAATATTACAAACTAAGAAAGTATCAGGGATATATATCCTATTATTCAGTCTGCACCTCTTAAATCCCCAACGTAACGTAAAAATAACAGTCCAGTTCTCTCTCAGCCTGATATCAGGGATTCTGCATACCATAATGCTCCCCTGACATACAGTCCCACCCATCCTTATACTGACTGAACAGCAAGACTGTGTCCCTGCCTCCAGTCCCATCCACCGTTCTACTGACTGAACAGCAAGACTGTGTCCCTGCCTCCAGTCCCACCAACCATTCTACTGACTGAACAGCAAGACTGTGTCCCTGCCTCCAGTCCAACCAACCGTTCTACTGACTGAACAGCAAGACTGTGTCCCACCCACCGTTCTACTGACTGAACAGCAAGACTGTGTCCCTGCCTCCAGTCCCACCAACCATTCTACTGACTGAACAGCAAGACTGTGTCCCTGCCTCCAGTCCCATCCACCGTTCTACTGACTGAACAGCAAGACTGTGTCCCTGCCTCCAGTCCCACCAACCATTCTACTGACTGAACAGCAAGACTGTGTCCCTGCCTCCAGTCCCACCCACCGTTCTACTGACTGAACAGCAAGACTGGGTCCTACCCACCGATCTACTGACTGAACAGAAAGACTGTGTCCAACCCACCGTTCTAAAGACTGAACAGCAAGACTGTGTCCCACCCACCGTTCTACTGACTGAACAACAAGACTGTGTCCCTGCCTCCAGTCCCAACCACCGTTCTACACTGACTGAGCAGCAAGACTGTGTCCCACCCACCGTTCTACAGACTGAACAGCAAGACTGTGACCCTACCTCCAGTCCAACCCACCGTTCTACTGACTGAACAGCAAGACTGTGTCCCACCCACCATTCTACTGACTGAACAGCAAGACTGTGTCCCTGCCTCCAGTCCCACCCAGTGTTCTACTGACTGAACAGCAAGACTGTATCCCACTCACCGTTCTATTGACTGAACAGCAAGACTGTGTCCCTGCCTCCAGTCCCACCCACCATTCTACTGACTGAACAACAAGACTGTGTCCCTGCCTACAGTCCCACCCACCGTTCTACACTGACTGAACAGCAAGACTGGGTCCCACCCACCGTTCTACTCTGACTGAACAGCAAGACTGTGTCCCACCCACCGTTCTACTGACTGAACAGCAAGACTGTGTCCCACCCACCGTTCTACTGACTGAACAGCAAGACTGTGTCCCTGCCTCCAGTCCCGCCCAGTGTTCTACTGACTGAACAGCAAGACTGTGTTCCACCCACCGTTCTACTGACTGAACAGCAAGACTGTGTCCCTGCCTCCAGTCCAACCCACCATTCTTCTGACTGAACAACAAGACTGTGTCCCTGCCTACAGTCCCACCCACCGTTCTACACTGACTGAACAGCAAGACTGGGTCCCACCCACCGTTCTACTCTGACTGAACAGCAAGACTGTGTCCCACCCACCGTTCTACACTGACTGAACAACAAGACTGTGTCCCACCCACCGTTCTACTCTGACTGAACAGCAAGACCCTGTGTTCTTGCTTCTGCCACAGCTTCAGAAGCGCCTCCACCACCATCATCTTCCCTGATCGTTTGTAGAAGCCATAGTCCAGCGTCTCATCCCCATGAGTGTCCTCGCCCACCAGGATCCGGGGCCCACCTGTGGACAGGTCAGGATGATTACACACCTTCCGCAGTGTGATCAGACCAGCAAATATCTGAAAATAAGTTCTGAAAACATGAAACTTACAGAAGAGAATGACAGGGTTGCATTTGGGTAATGATACCATCATTAGCATGACTGCATTCTGACACTATTGGGTGCGTTTAATCTTGACAACATAAACGCTGTGTCCTTATTGTACAATGGGGGCGATCGATTAGCCTAGTGGTTAAAGCGTTTGCTCGTCACGCCAAGACCTGGGTTCGATTCCCGTCATGGGTACAATGTGTGAAGCCCATTTCTGTTTTCCCCGCTGTAATATTGCTGAAAGTGGCGTAAAACCATACTCACTCACTATTGTACAATGAGCTTTTAAGACCGAATCTAAGTGATCAACTCATGTGACTTGGTGTGGTCAAATAGTGATGAATAAAATATAGTAGCAGGACCCTGATGTATGGAGTTACTAGAGTCCCATGGTTTGAGGTATTAGAGTAAGTTTCTTGATTTATAGTTTACACGACTCAGTCTTGCTTAGTGACTGTACTTGTAATTGTAAAAGCTGTTTGTGAACAAGTCATTCAAGATAGTTTGATAAACAAAATACTACATGTTACTATAATTGCTTTCTAACAGTGTGTAGATTGAGTGCAGCTGCACTGTGACCGACCTTGTACTTGCCGGAGAGGATGGCCTGACATTCCCGGGAGTCGAGGTACTCCTGATACACTTCCCTCTGCTCCTCCGTCAGCCGGCAGAACAGCACCTGGGCAACAACAGCAGCAGCAGCAACGTGAACAACAGCAGCAGCAACGTGAACAACAGCAGCAGCAACGTTAGCAACAGCAAAATCTCCACCACAAACATGTCTGATCATACTGATCTGTATTTAACATTGAAAGTGCCCCAATTACCTGTTCATTCTTCTGAGGTAGATTCAGGCCTACTTTGACATCAGCTTTCATTCTGCGCAGCAGGAACGGATTGATCGTATCTCTCAAAACGGTGGCACACTTGTAGGCGGTCTCCACCTGTATCAGATGGACAACTGTATCATGTTCGCTAGAATGTTAAAACGCATAGTCTATTTTGGGCTGAAGAAATCCTGACAAGTTGGTCCAGAGGCAATGTTTGTTGTTTGTTGATTAATGCCGCACTCAGCAATATTCCAGCTATATGAAGGCTGTCTGTAAATAATCGAGTCTTGACAAGGCAATCCAGTGGTTGATATTATGAGCATCAATCCACGCAATTGGGATACAATGACATGCATCAAACAAGTCAGCGAGTCTGACCACCCGATCTCGTTTGTCGCCTCATACGACATGCATGGGTTGCTGAAGACCTAATCTACCCCGGATCTTCACGGGTCCCAGTGGCAGTAACAATATTTTACCTGTGTATGGAGCCTGGCCATGCCGACAGGCTTCATTTGTATATATATATATATACCCTGGACCCATGTGCCATTACAGCATTATTTAGATAGTTATAATCTTGTAGAATTTTCCTATTCGGAATATTCCATAAGTAAAACGTTACCACTGTTATACTGAGACTGTTGTCTCCCACAACTGCTGCTATAGCGAAATCTACCACAGAGATCTCAATTACCTCATGCAGCACGTGCGTAGCCACCTAGCTGCCATGTGACACCCTTCACTCTTGTCTACTGCGAGAGCAAGTGCTCGGGGGACGGACGGGCGGGCAGCAGCCCAGTGGTAACGTATCACTTATAAAATATTCCGAATAGGAAAATTCTACAAATTACATTAAGTAATACGTTACCACTGTTATACCGAGGCTGACTACCACAGTAGGCGGTGGGGAGCACCTACAACCCGAATCCTGACTGCTAGCGGAAGCACTCCATGCGCATGCACCTAGCTAGGCGTTACCCTATAGGAATACCAAAGCACTGTCAAGCGCATACCGTAAGGCTCAATCGTCATTGCCAAAATGATTGGTGACTCCAAACGGCCCCACTGGATAGGTATTTCATCGCCGCAGCGGATGAGAACACTGTATCCGCGTGAGCTAAATCATAGATCAGGTTAAACAGTCGAAAAGAGGGAAATTAATTTCCTTCAGACCGTATATCCCAGAGCAAGCCTACTTAAAGTATGCATTAGGCGCGTGACCTAATTCCAGTATTCGTAAGCATGTATCGCAAGGTTGGAATACACGACAGACAATTAAATGCATAATTGTCAAAATACAAATAAGGACAAAACACACAAAAAGCCGCCTCACCTGTGGTGTGAGTGCGCTGGTTTGCAGGACCCCCACTCCTGTACCCACGGCGTGGGAACATTGGAGACGACCCAGATTGACCACCGTGCAAGGACTGACGACTGCGGAATTTAGAATTGCACTGGACACACCCCCTAGATGACCGCTTGTGCCGCGATCAGCGGCCCAAGACGGTGCACCCCCTCCACGTCTTCATCAGAAACCTTTCTGAGGTAATGATTGGCAAAAACCGAGTCAGAACGCCAGTAACAACCTCGTAATATTCTGTGAACAGAGATATTCGAGTGTAGGGCAAATGTTGCCGCTAGCGCCCTGATCTCGTGCGGGTTTGACCCCGCTACCGGTAACCCCCGAGACCGGTACGCCAGATTGATGACAGAACGAAGCCACAATTGAGTTGCGAGTTATGTCAACCGTGCGATTAGGGTTACAGGATATGAACAGACGGTCACGCCCTTGTCTACGTTCATTCGAAGCCTTAAGATAATACTTAAGGGCCCTAACCGGACACAGCGCTCTGTCCTCAGTATCAGCAGGATGGTAAGATTTCTTTGAGGGATCTTACAGTGAATTCTCTCTCCGTTTGCCCGACTCTCTGATTCTTGGCGACGAAGCCCATGAGCAGGCCAAGGCGGACCGCTCCTTCGTCACCCCTATCGAATCGTACCTTGGCGACATCGAGTGCATGAATACACGTGCCGCCGTGGCAAAGGAGAGGAGAAATGCTGTTTTCCAAGTCACATGCCGGAACGAAGCACTATGCAAGGGTTCATACGGAGCTTCCGTAAGTGATTGCAACACTAGGGAAAGATCCCAGGCCGGTGCCCGAAGGCGGCCCTTCTTAAGATCGTGCTGTTTGAAACCCTTGATAATACCCCGTATCACCAGCTCTTTGGAGAGTCTGGTACCCATAGCAACGTCCCGTACCGTAGCAACGGACGAGACATAGTTGGCAATGGAACCCCCGGAGAGTTTCCGGGTCTCTCGCAAGTGAGACATGAAACGAGCAATATCCTGCACAGATACCTTATCTGGCGAATGAATGTGATGTTTACAACACCACTTCGTGAAAATAACCCAACGTGCATTATACACCTTCTGGGTAGAATCACGATGCATACTAACGTATGCCCGAGACGCCCGGCGAGAAAAACCTCAGACGCTCGGTGACAACATCCACGCGTGCAGATTGAACTGCCCTGCGTTTGGATGAAGCTGACGGGTGTGAGGGTGGATCAAGAGATCCGGTCTCACAGGCAGTGGGAGTGGCGACTGCGTGACCTGGGTCAGCAAGTCGGGGTACCACGATCTGTTCGGCCACATGGGCGCGATCAGTAACATTCGACAGCGAACTCCTCGAAGCCGGCTTAGAATGTGTGGTATCAACGCTGTCGGCGGGTAAGCATAAGCGTCCAAGCCCGTCCAGTCTAATGCGAGAGCATCGTGATCGATGGCCCTCGGGTCCGGGACTGGTGATACAAACAACGGGAGTTGATTGTTGAACCGTTTTGCGAACAGGTCGACCATCGGACGACCCAAACGTTCGCACAGCCACTGAAACACTACTGGGTTCAGCATCCACTCTGTGGGGCTCGGATCCTGAGGCCTCGATAGAGCATCGGCCAGTACGTTCCGCACACCTGGGATGTGACGGGCGCGTATCTGGCACGGGACACTGTCCACCAGAGCGGAAAACTCAAAGTGAACGTGTTCACATAGGACGCTACCGTCGTGTTGTCGGTCGCCAGCATGAGCCGGGCGTCGACGAGACGATGCTTCCAGTGATTGACTGCGTTGATCACTGCCTTGAACTCGAGACAATTGATGTGAAGACCTAGTTCGTCTACGCACCACAGCCCCGAGCTCACCTCCCCCTCTAGATGGGCGCCAAAGCCCACTAGAGAGGCCTCTGTATACAGGTTCAAGGTGGCCCAGTAGGGCCGCATAGAGACTCCTGATAAGACATTGTAAGGGAGCGTCCACCACTCCAGATGCGGTCGGAGCCGATCCGGGAGGGCGACGGTCGCACTGTTCACCTCCGTTGCTAACAACTGGATTAAAAAACGTTGCAGCGGACGGAGTTTGAGACGACCCCGTTCGGTGCAGTCCTGGGCTGATACAAGTAGCCCTAACAGCTGTTCCCAAAAGTGAACAGTCTGTTGCACCGCTAAGACTTTGGCAATCATCGCCTGAATTTTGTGCCACCGGTCTGGGGGGACAAATAGGCGATGGGACACCGTGTTGAACCAACCTCCGATGAACTGCAAGTTCTGAGAAGAGGTTAACTCGCTCTTGGGGAGATTGACAATCCACCCCAATTGCTCCAAGAGCCGACGTGCGAAAACGAGATGGCGTGACAGGGTGTCCCTCATTCGATTTGCTACTAGCGAGTCGTCCAGGTACGCGAAGTACCGGACACCCCTCCGGTGGAGGAACCCCACTATGGGGGTGGTTAACCGGGTGAACAGCCAGGGAGCGGATGAAAGACCGAATGGGAGTACAACCCACTCGTAGTGCCTGCCTTGAAAGACAAACCTGAGATACTTGTGATGATCCGAGTGAATCGGAACATGCAGATAAGCATCCTTCAGGTCGAATGAAGCTAGCCAGTCGGCCGGCATGATCAGTGCTTTCAGGTCCGTCAAGCTCAACATTCTGAACTTGGGCGGCTTGCGCAGGTAGAACTCGTTGAACGATTTCAAGTTGTGAATCATTCTGAGTTCGGCACTGTCCTTCTTGGGAACGAGAAATATCCTGGAGTAAAACCCCGGTGTTGTTTCTGGTAGAGCTAACTCCCGAACTGCCCTCTTCTCCACCAACCTGCCGATGGCATCGGCGAGGAAGGGAAGATCGGTTTCCGAATAGAAACCTGCCGACGGGGCAACGGTGAGCGGCGGATTCGCTTTGAGATCGAGCCGATAGCCGTACCGAATCGTGTTGACCACCCACGGGTCGTCGAACACTTGTTCCCAATTCTCCCAGTAAGTCTGGAGTCTGGCTCCCACTGGGGAAAGAGAGGGGGGCCGGACAGGCTGCGACAGGCGCAACTGTCCAGGGCCAAGTGACTCGGGTTCGCCTACGGGCCAACCGAAGTTGGCGCTGTCGGCATACGAACCCCTCCAATGAGAGTCACCTGGAGGGGCCCTTGCCGTCCTTAGACGACTTGGGCTTCCCCCAGTTCCCCTTCTTCCCGCGAAAGGGCTGCTGAGAACCCTTACCGGAGCCCTCAGAGCGGGGCTTCTTCCCGGAGGAAGAAGGACCCGACCCCTTAGGCCTGCCGGACGCAGCATCCTGGGGCGTGCTCCGCTTCGGAGCGGCACCCAGGCGCCTATGCAAGGACCCCACAAGATCCAGTGTGTGCCGAGAGGCCTCGGCAGACACAGCGGCCTGTTGTTCCTTCAGAACCCCAGGGATCTTGTTATTAAACAGGGTCCGAGCAGACCAAGGCTGCGAAAGGAGCACCTCCTGATTGGCAGCGTCCAACCCTGAAGCAACCAGATACGACTGGCGCCGAAGAAAATGGCACGTGACGGAAACAAAGGCCGAAGCCCCGGCAACGTACTCCAGGGAAGCATTCAAACCGAGCAAGCAGTTGTAAATGCGCTGGTCTCGGTCCATAGGAGAACCTTCGACCAGACTGGCCGCTGCAGCCAGGTATGTGTTGCCAGCATGGAGTGTCGAGTGAGGGTGTCCAGCTGTTGCAAGGTACCTTGTGGTACCGTGGCAACCGGTAGGGCACGGACCCCCAAACGCTCCACATGGGCTTCCGCAGAAGGAC